GGAGCACATAATTATATTGTAAATTCTAAATAAAGTAAATTGGATTCGTTTTCGTAACATGCAAGATACAAGAGTTAGGATTTCTGTATAGCACAGCGAATTTGAAATAGTCTAACGAATTACTGCTATTCTTAATGAGGATAGAAATTCAACAGGACACAAGCGAAAACTCAAATTTGAAGTACACAAAGTGAAATTATACTGTGTTATGATATTTAAACAGTAAAAGTTTTTTTAATTGTACAGTGTATGTATTAGTCATTTATTACAAGAACACTGTGACAAATCGGTAACTCAATACTTCCCACAATGTGTAACGAATTTACAATTGCAGAGTAATATTTACGTTACCATTTATCATGGTTATGCATAATGCAAGTTATATAAGATATCTAAACAATTAGCTTCACTAGGCTATGCAACTAGTGGATTGTTCCAGAAAGTTTGTATACCCGAATACACAATTCACCAGTCATTGAAGAACAAAACTGTAGTTACTTCTCAACGATATAACACACATACCTGACAAATAAAGACTACAATTCTGTGCTCTAGAGAACAAATAAGTTAATCCACCAGGTATGATAATATTAATAAAAGTTATTCCCAGAAATGGAGTTTTATAGAACGAATACTGGAACAGTGAGTAAAGTATTAAACAATAATGAAGGTATGAAACCAAAACTCTCAATAAATATGTGCACTATTGATCTCATCTGAGCCAAAATTAAACATAATACACATGAATGGAGAGATTAATAGAAGTAATGGTACATGCAGAGTTACAAAGAATGCAAATGTAGGTTTTCGAATAAAGATATTATAATTTCTGAAAAATCATATTTTGCTTCTGGTTAATAAAGAACATCTGTTATTAAAACACAATTATATGAATGCAGAATATTCTTTTCAATAATTTCTCATCAGGTTCGACAATTATAAATCCAAATTAACAATCCACAAAAGATTAGCCAAGTTTAAGGCAGAGTACATCATATAAAATTGTAACATGTGAATCAAGGAGTGTTTGTGATATAAAATTAAATCGAATCGTTAATGTTGGGCTGACTAATATGAAGTATTAACTTGAATCAGTTTTCAAGTGAAATGAAATTGTGAGATAAATGATCAGAATGAATATAGTTGACATAGGGTGAGATAGAACAGTGGGATTACTTATCAGAAATTACGTAATATGTAGAATAATATGAATTAGGTCAGATATAGTAGATAGGGGTAGATGCTGAACAAATTCCTCTAAAAGGTCAGCAAGTGCAATAATAATAATATAATAATAATGGTAATAATAATAATAATTGAAAGCGTGAGTCAATTGAAGCTAGATCATTATGGAAAATCTGGACACACTGTACGGCCGTTTCGTCCTATTATGGGACTCCTCAGCAGAGATAGGAACTCACTGGAGACAATTGGTGAATGGTTGCTCAACTTCGTGGATCAGTTGAAGTTAGACATTAACACCGTTGGATGCCAGCTCAGTGGTCTATCGGTTAGGGGCTTCGGCTCGAGACTGGTAGATCCTAGGTTCGAATCTCGCGAGAGCGGGTTCGTGGATGCGCACTGCTGAGGAGTCCCATAATAGGACGAAACGGCCGTCCAGTGCTTCCAGGTTTTCGATGGTGGTCTAGCTTCAATCGACTCACGCTTTCAACTATGAAAAATACTAAATCTCCACAAAACCCCTTCTAATAATAATAATGACAATGATAAGGTATGTAGGTAAAAATAAGTTTAGGATATAAAGATGAACATTGATCAAATTACATCACCATATTATGAAACTGATTATTAACAAGTTGGTCCTGAAGTTGGCCAGGGTAAAAGGAGAGACTAAACATATTTCTTTTGGATGTACAGCTCTGGCATTTTGATCTGGATAGCACTTGCTTCAACCGTCTGCAGAATTCTTAATGTGACGGAATTAGGTAGACTGCTGTTAACACGATATATTATTACGAAAGATTGCTTCATGTTGGCTGTCTGAATTAAATGGGCTAAAATGGAGCTGTTAACCGTTTTAACTACACCTTTGCTTAATCACACTGGGTGGTGCTCACAGGCCCGAATATACAAAATCCTAGAATATCTGTCTATATAACTTGCCCACATGAGCAGTTGAATTGATAGATACAGAAATAAGTGGTTAGTCTAGGCAATTTATCTTTCAACTTCGAAGTGATCATTGGACGTGTTAAAGTTCTTTGGATTGATCTTCGTAATTTCAGTCATAGCATTTCACTAGGTGCATCGCCTATGAATTTTAGGCGTTTATACAGAGGCATTTTATTCACAGTTAAACATTCTCTATGTTCTCTTTTATTGGTTATGTTTTTCTTTATACATTTCTCCGGATATCCGTTTTGTTTCAGGGTCATGTATAATTGTCTTTTAATATGATGGGAAATCTTGTAATCTATTATTGTCATTATCAAAATTATATGATTTTGATGAAAGAAATCAGTTGATCAACAAAGAATGA